TGGATTTAGCTCCATTCACCACAATAATCTGGCTTCACAGAAAAAAATTGCTATTTAAAGGCCTCTTACAAGGTATTAAAGATCACAGAATCATAGAATCATTTGGGTTGGAAGGGATCTTAAAGATAATCTAGTTCCAACCCCCCTGCCATGGGCAGGGACACCTTCCACTAGACCAGGTTGCTCAAAGCCTCATCCAGCCTGGCCTTGAACTCTTCCAGGGATGGGGCATCCACAGCTTCTCTGGGCAACCTGTTCCAGTGCCTCACCACCCTCTCTGTGAAGAATTTTTTCCTGATATCTAAATCTCCCTGCTTTCAATTTAAATGTGTTACCCCTTGTCCTGTCACTACTGGCCCTTGTCATGTAATTTTACCTTTTTTCTTGAAGAGAAAAAATTAGCTACAACTGTTCAAGTTCATTTGTACCTCCAGAAAGACAAACGGTGTAGGTACAGAGCAAATGGGGAGGGTGGTCTGAATTGCAGCCAAGCTGTGGCTGCAGGGATGCTGCCAGTCCCCTGTCCCTCTGTCCCAGAGCGGGATGAGTTCCCTTGAGATCCCACTCAAGAGGAGCGGCGTGAGCAGATTTTGGCTCAGATTTTATCTGTGACTTGGAATGTATTGACTCGTAACCTGGAGAAGAATTACCCTGTGCTGGATGTGTGAGCCCCTGTTGTGCCAGGTTGCAAGGGTGGGCATAGGTCTGTATAGGCAGGGCATGATCTTACCTTCTTCTCTGGAAAGAGGAAGATTTGATAATTTGGCCACAGACTGAAAACAGTGTAAAGGAGGGCTTTTTGTCCAACTGGATTGCAAGCTGGAGGATTTATGCCAGTCCTGGAAAGGAGAAGGACATGTGAGGTGAGCCAGAAGACACCAAGCATCAGGCTCTGGGTTTTGCTGGTGCTGGTTGCTCTGGTGTGGTGAGACGCAGCTTGGCCATCTCTCATGGTCAGGACAACACCTAAAAATGTCTGAGGGAACCTTCAGGCCTCAAACACTGTGACAGCACAAGGCATGATGGTAGAGCTCATTTCTTCCACCAGTCTGGCTCTGGTCTGAGGCTTGCAAGCTCTCTGAAATGTCTTGTTATTAAGGCTCCCAATGCTCCTGATGGGTAAAATAGCCTGCTTTCCATTTATCCTGCCTACCAGTTAGGCCTCATCTGTGATACACCATTTTATCCATCCATTCATCCATCCATCCCCATGTTGTTTACCATCCATGGGTTTAAAATGTTGTTTAAACCAATCCCTACTGGTGGACTTTTCTAGTGTAATTAATTCAGTATCCATGTCTTTGAGTTTTCAGTTTTTTATTAACACTGCTATGTGACAGGCTGATGTAAAGACATCTGTTATCTCATAAATTTAGAGAGTGGGCCCGTTTACATGCAGCACAAAGAAGTAATAAGACTGTTTGGTTGGTGTGGCTGCTGGAAGTAACATCATGTGAGAACAAAATGTAATCACATTTTTTGGTAAGCCTCCCAGCAAAGAAGGAATTTTAAAAAGGAGACTTTTGAAGTAGCTTTGAGATGCTCTGAGCTTCTCCAAAACAGTGGGAGATATGTGGAGGAAAATATAAAAGAATTATGTGAATGCGCAAGAAGCCTGGCACTGAGGGGGCAGCCTGGCATCATGGGCAAGGACCAGCCTCTTCACAGTCACAATGAGGCAATGAGGTAGGAAGGGACTGGATGCGAAGAGCATTGGATGGGAGGACCAGTGGGTTGTGGAAAGCTGATGGAAGAAGTCTCTGTCAGGTACAAAAAATCATTTAGGAGGGGAAAAATTGAATTCTTCATTTGCTTAGAACTTGGCTGCTACTGGACAGACTCCAGAGAATATTAATTTGCATATAAATTGGTTTTTTCCTTCTAATGATCAGGGCTTGCTTGAAGTCTTTAGGTGTGTACAGGGCCTGTTCCATTTGCCTCTCCCATGCTGCTCACTGTAAAGTTGCTCTGCTAAATCAATAATTAAGTCAGTCAGAAAAGTTTGGATTCTCCTTCCCCATTCTGGCTGGCACAGACAAAGTATTCAGGCAGAGATGGTCTTGCCAACAATGACACAAGCAGTGAACCACTGAGAACCACTTTTAACTTACTTCTCACCTTAATCTTCATGTGTAATAGACCATCCTTTAAAAAAGCATGATCGGATTCCCACTGAAGAGGCACAGAGAAATTTCCATTAGCTCCCAGCAGAGTCACACAGGTCTTAATGCCTGTGAGAAAACAGCCTCTTGAAGAACATGTCAAATTAATCTGCGCTAGACTACCAAGCATCTTTCTTTTTGTGCATCTAATGTAATTGAGGTCACCAAATTTAATATGTGGCCTATTCAGATGCTCCATAGGAATTAAAGCATTTTAAATACCACATAGCATCTAATTAAGAAGCAAACTAGGGCAGTTAAAATGGTAGAAATGCTCTACAATAAAATTTCAATCTGGCTTATGACGTCCTAGGGTGAAAAAATATTTGGTAACACAACTGTTCCAGGTATGTTATAAACATGCATTATGAAAATAGATTATCAGGCATGTTAAACAAGGCAAACTTCTATTTTTTCCAGTGCCATGTAGCCACTCATTTTCCTGTGTAGTGTCAACTGATATTTATTATGGTGCAATAGAACTGGTTAGGGAGGATAGTTTGGTGTACAGTGTGTTGGGACACAGTGTGGACCTCCAAGGTTCAGCTTCAGTTCAGACTCACACCCCCTGTGTGGCCTCAGGGAAGTCTGTAAGTCTGCCTCTGCAAATGGAGAATAGCAGCTTAATGCTCCTTGGAGTGCTACGCACCTTGGAGACAACAGACTGATGAGGGCAAGGAAAGTGTGGGGATAAATGAGTTGTCAAAGTTTGTCTTGATAGGATTCCCCTGAGCGGTGTGGCGTGCAGGATTCAGCCCACTGCTCTGCAAAAAGGAGAGGTTTTATCTGTGCATTTGGAAATCACCCCATGCCAGTTATTTCCTCATTTTTTCTAGCAAGTTAAAAAATAGAAATACTTTAAAGGAACCGAATGCAAAATACGTTTGCTGCTCAAAGCCAGGAAAAGTCCCTCTGTGGACAGTCTTCTGCCTCCACTGATTATTAAAGTAACTGACAGGCATAAAAAAAATGGGTTGGGTCTTGTTTTTCTTGGTTTGTAATGAATAAAGGAGACAGCATTTATTTGCTTTAGTTTTGGGTTTTATTTCTGTCTTTTGTTTTCTAATCTTAGAAATAGAATGAAGGTTGGATTTTTCTGTTGGGTTCTTGAGATTAGAGATCTCAGGTCCTGCTTCCACATCTCAATCTGTATTTTGTTTGAGAGAAATAGGGTAGAGCATCTTTAAGAAGAATCAACATATTTTCCCTCTAGTATTAAGAGATTTTGAACAAAATAGATGCTAATTAGGGAAAAAGGTATGAATTTCCAAGTTGCCAAAGAATGAAGGCCAAATAGTTTCAATGCAAACATCCATGCTCTTTAAAGCTGAACTAAGCTGCACCTTTAATTCTTTTCAGGTGTTCAACAACACATAACTACGACCGGGACAGGAGCTGGGGACACTGCACTTCGTTGCCCAAAGACCACATGGGTAAGTCGAGCCATTGCTGAGATGCTCCAGGTACCTGGCTCCTACTGTGCCACCTGCACTGAGGAGTGATAGTGCCTTCAGCGATACTTTTATTTGGTGTACACAGAACAAGCTTTCACATTAGCTCTTTCAGGATCTCTCTGTGACTCTGCATAACCATAGCATTGGACTGTGAATATCACACAGTCTTTAATTCGTTCTCTGTTGACTGTCTTGAAGCCATGGAGAGAAAATACGGTAACGCCAACACAGGAAGCTGAGCTCCTGCTGGAGCCAAGCACAGAGGTGATTGGTGTCCTCTCCCTCATGGCTTGGATGTGCCTTTTATTTTTCCCCTCATTTTAATCAACTACATTTTCTGTCTCTTTGACCAGTTAGTTTTTTAGAAGTCAACAAACTCCAGTACTACAATTACCTCATTGCAAAAGTCTGTCTAAAATGGGAAGATAAGGTGTGTGGCAAACTCCTTTCTATGGAAGTCGCTTTAACTGACACACTGGGTGAAAGCATCATGTCTCAAGCAGTTTGGTGGGGAACATACATCGCTGTCCTCATCTGTACCTCCGTGGCTGGCCCTTGCTTGTCTCTCTTAATGTTTCATGAGCTGCATGCTGGGGAATCTCATTTTATAACAAACGTATACATCTAATTCTCAATTTATACAGTGACAGACCAGCACCGAAAAATTAGGTGCTGCACTGATCAGACTTGATGTCCCTGATGGGTTTTTTTTGGATCTGTGTCTAAATGCTGATCATGTTCCTCTTTTCTCGTTCCTTCACACTACTTTCCAATGTGATGTGTCTTGTTTAGTCTGCAGGATATGAGTAGATGCCCTTAGATTTTCACTTCCCACTTTCCAACAAAGGGCATTTTCCACCATGCCCTTTCAGGGAGTTCTCTGTTATGTCAGGAGACTCTTTGCCAAGCTGATTACAATCTAGCAGTGTGCTTGAAAAGCCAATGTTAGCTGAATCATGCTGAGAGCCTAAAATTAAGCAGTACGCAGCATCACCATTTTAAACGTAACAACTTTAAATTATTTTCCAGCCTGGCTTCAAAACAGATTAACAGTAGATCAGAGACCAATGACCCAACCCCAGAAACAAGCAGGGATGCATATGCCTTTGTAATGCAAGTATGTCAGACACTAACATAGAGTTTATAGACAGTCCACGCTTACAAGAGCCAGGTGATGAAGGCTGCACTTACTTATTCATTCTGGGAGTGCCCTCCCAGAGCTTAAACTCTGGGAAGTGGTAACTCGTGACTACTTTAATCCTCCACTGAAACAATGACTGTCACAGTGGCAGCCAGCTGACTCAAGGAGTCTTTTCCAGTAGCTGAAGAAAGAGGTCTCCAAGCCTAACATTGCATTTCTGGGGATGCCTTCTGCCACCTCTGTCCTTCCCTCAGCACATCACTGTGGCCCTGCCAGCCCCCATCTCTGCAGTGAGCTGGCTGCCCACAAGCCTTTCGGGGCTTTCAGGCTCATTTTTGCCTGTTAAATGAGCATTTAACAGAAGCATTGGGTAGGGTGATTTGCAACAAGAAAACCACTCTGTCTACCTGCCCTGTGCTGAGGGCTATCACTGTTGATACACCTTAGTGCCAGTGAGGACTTGTCCTGGCTGCTGTTTTTTCTCTAGAAAAAATTTGTAAGTGTGAGAGAGGGAAGAAAACAGAAAAAATGATGGGGTAGCTGGAAGAGATCACTGCTGGCTGTTACAAAGAAAAGATTTTATTTTGGAAAGCAGCAAGAATTTTGTAAAATTAAATAAAAAAGTCTTTAGTTTTCCACTTCTTTATAAACATGTCTACTTTTTTTTTTTTTTTCCCCAGCAGCAAACTGAAAAAAAATAAATAGAGTTTGGAGCGTATCTTTTGGCCATGAGAGGTTGGTGAGGAATGTGTAAACTGGGATAGAGAAAGAGCTGCTTGAAAGTAAAGGCTGATGCTTGAACTCTCTCCAGGCCAAGAATACCATGTGTATGTGGGGACATGACTTGAAATTATTGGAGCTGCTTACCAATTAGTGTTAAGCAAGTGTTGGAGGTATTGATCCAGAAAAATACATCTGCCAACTTCAAGAGAAAGTTTAACCGAAAAGTGTTTAGCTTCACGATGAAATGAAGCTCAGGTATGAAGGCTCTGAACTGGAGGGAGACTCTACAGAGCCAGAGCTCCACCATAACAACACCCAAGGGGCTTGTTCACACACAGGCACACAAAATCAGTGGGAGCTTTATCGCTGATTACAGGTTTCCGCAGGATCCTCCACTCCTGCCCAGGAGATCTCTGTGGAGACTGTGCGCAGTATTTGCCTGATGCAATTCCTTCATACACATGGGCCAACAGGGCTGTGAATGTGTAGTACATATATATGCATAAAAGTGCAATTCCCCTATGTGTGGGACTTGCAGATATTGGGCACGCTGTTCAGACTACTGCTCTGAATGGCTAGAAATCTTGGACAAATGGTCAAAACCCCAGGGAGGTCCAGACTTGGGAGAAAAGTGCCAGACAGTGAGATTTTTTAAAGAGATGTTTGGACTGATATGGAAAGAAGAAGTAGAGTAGTGCTGGCTGTGCAGGCAGGAGGAAGAGGCATCATCCCAGGAGGGGATCTGGGGAAGGGCAGTCCCAGTTCTGCGAAAGGTGGGTGGCAGAAACAGAAAGTTTTTGTGGGAAGACAAGGTTACTGCTCATTCAGTAGAGCCTCAGTGAGGTGAAGCTGAAGTCAAGTGATTGCTAACAAGCAGTGTTTTTCCTGTGAGGGTGTCTTTAGATATCTGCTAAAGGATGTCTAAAGGGACTCAGCACTCCCCAGTATTAACTGGGTAATGGTGGGCAGGATTCCCTGCAGGGAACAGTGCTGTGTCCATGTGCTTATGCGTAGAAGTTGTTTCTGGGGTCCATGGAAGGTGGGGAGGAATGCAGAATACTCTGGGGAAGTCAGGCTGGAGTGGCGGGTGGGATGCACTGAGGGACTCCAACTGGGAAGGAAATGGAGGACTGGAAGTGCCCTTTGCAGATATAACAAGGGTACAAAAATTGACCTGAGCACCACTGTACCAGAAGGTGTCCTGGAGATCAAATTACGGTTTGGATATGATGTAAATAGGGAATACAGGATTTTCCTTTGAGGAAACATTGCACCACTGGTAGTTTCATAACAACCAAATGACAGGAACAGTAGGAATGTCACTGTCCTTACTTGTTTTTCACTTGATGTTATCCTGGTGTGAAACTACCGGTGAATACACCCAGGCCTGCTATCTGGTATCAATTACACCACTTTGTTCAGAAGTAAATATTTTGATCTGTGCAGGGGAACCTTCCTTCACGTTTACACTGCTGCAGCACAGCCCAGGATGTGCCTGTGGTGCTTCGCTTCAGCCCTGCATGCGTGTGCCTGCATTACTATACGTTGTGTCCCATGCTTCGGACCACACGTTCTGGCTGAACTGAGCAACTCTGCTGTTGCCCTCACGAAGTTTGACTGGCATTAAACACAGGGGTTTGAATGCAGATGAGCTGTTGGGCCAGCTCTGCAGCAGGTGTAAAATGTGATGTTGGTTGACTTCAGGGGAGATATACCCCTCAACACTGCCTGAAACTAGGAAAAACTGCTGGTTAGCAACAGCTTTTGCATTGCACATAGTTGTCCTGGCTCACCCCCTCCTCTCCCACGCTTTATAAAATTCCTTAAAAAGCAGAGATTTATTAGACTGGTCCAGTTTAATCTTGCTTGGCCTGATTTAGTTGGATGTGCTTCCTATTTTTTTCCTTTGTTCCACCCTTTAATTTTTTTCCCCTTCGTTCCAGCTGTCCATTCGTTTTTGACAAAATCCCAAAATCCAGAGCAGATTGTATCGAGCCGAGTTGTGCCTTCTGCGATTTGCAGGGCAGGGCAGGGCGGAGCCGCAGCCTTCCCTCCCGGAGCAAAGGCACAGCTCCATCGTGTGGGCACTTGTCCCATCGCCTTCCTCGCCGCGGCTCCGGCAGCTTTGTGCCTGCCTGGACCTCTCACCTCCGGACAAGGACCAGGCGAAGGAGCTCCAGCTCAGCCATTTACTGTCTGGTTTCTAAAAGCTGGACAAATATAGATGCGATACAGCTGGAAACAAAAGCAATGTAAATTGGTGGGATAAACATCGTTTTAGATTAATAGGTGTTAACGGAAATCGCCGCGTGTGGAACCGAAATGGTTCACATAACCAAGCCGATGTGTAACACAACAAAGTGCGGCTTATCTGGCACCTATTAACGACAACAACTTCTGTGGTCTGTCTAGATCACTGTGCAAACAACCCTTGCCAGAATGGAGGGACCTGTTCTCTTGCTCAAGGCCATGGGATGTACCACTGTACCTGTCCCGAGGAATTCACGGGCGAGAACTGTCAGATGAGTAAGTATCTTCTTCCAGGAGTGTTACAACATGACATACAGCAGTAAGTAAAGCTCATTAATGTTTGCTTAATGAAAAGGTAGTGCTGTTGTGACAGGAGAGACCACTGCAGCATGAATGTTTGCGTAGGCAGATTTCCAAATGGTTATGACAGACAACCCATTACTGACAGGACAGCTGAAAATAGCTTGATTATACAGTTATAAATCCAAGCATGCTCTGAGCTAGTGAGGTATTAAGCTATGGGAAACACAAAGAGCCTTTTCCCCTCCCTTTGCTGATTTTAAGATTTAAACATGACTTACATGGCTGGAAATGACTAATATATCAACCAGTAGGTAGAGCAGGGAGACATGAAAAAAACAACAAAATTTGGGGTAACGCCTTATCCCTTATGTATATGCACACATGGGTCCATTACAGCTTCTCCTGTGATGTTAGCTTCACACCTGGCCAGCTATGCCATCTTCAGGGGAGTTATTTCCAAAGGAAGAGAGTCAGGCCAAAAGGTTTTGCTTGGATTATTTTTCCAGTTTTATGGTGGTGTCACACCCAACTTACTGCACGTCAAACAAAGAATTAGGCTTTTACAATGAGGGCTTTCAGTCATGCTTGCTTTTCCCTGTAGCTCTAGACTTGCCTCCCAACAGAAGCAAAGAAGCTTTTTTTCAATCCCATACTCCACTGTCTCCAGCACAGCCCATCATCTGTGGTTGGTGGGACAGGCACAAGTATATAGCACTGACTTTACTTTTCATGTTTGCCGAATGAACTTTTGGAAAGGCTTAAGCACTGACAATGCTGTCATACTCACAGGGTTTTGGGAGAAAGCCACCTCTGCCTCGAGGTCCTTGGAGCTGTTGCTATAGTGGCTTAGTGTCTCCATGCTGTGTTTGGTTTGCCTGAGAAGCACCGTCAACAAACGTATGTCTGCTCAACAGGAAAAAAGGAGATGAGCAGGCAGCGGTGGAGACTGTGGTCCCGTTTCTCACAAGAAATAACCTCAGAAAGCTTGTGTTGTTTTTTAAACTGTCTTTTAGAGAAATGTTTTGACAACAGCCTCTACGAGTTCTTTGATGTGGGCGTGAGCTGGTCAAGAGTCCAACAAGGAGCTGTGGAGCAGTGCGTGTGTGTGAACGGCCAGAGCGAGTGCGAGAGAGTCGAACACAGAAGTAAGGCACTATTTTGTACTACAGCTGTTGGCCTGTATGGAGTGGGGATAAAGGACTGTAAGGATATCAAAGCCTGAGCTGTGTTATACCCAGTAAGACTGCTCTTGCAGCTCATGTGCCCCCTGCCCCTTACCTTTTCATGTGTGAGCAGTAATGCTGACCCAAGAAATCACTTCAGCTTGTCCACCCTTATTTAAGGAAACAATTATATGCATTAAGCTAAATTTTAGGGACACAGCTCAGTGCTTTCTCCATCAGGGATGCAATACTGAACTGCAGCATGTAAAAATATGCAGTAGTAGAAGTGGTAAAATTTCTGACCTTATGAGCTCTCTTCCAAAACTCTAACATGCCCAAGAGGCTCCCCCCCCCCTACTCTTTTCCTGAACACCTACAATCACTTCATATTGCTGTTTCACATCTGGGATTTCTTCCCAAGCCTATCCCACTCTTGAGTTGTCAGCATGTAAACTCTACCCACCTCCAGGATCCCATTTGCCCTGCATCGACCCCAGAGTTCCCATAATTTTTGGCATAACGTACCCATTCCTGGCTGGGGTGATGCTTATGTTTTGAAGCCTCCTGCTTGCTTTGGGGCTCCCAGGTGCGCAACACAGCTGGCCAGCTAGCTGCAGGACATGTGCTTCAGGTTGTCACTTATTTGTGCCAGCACAGCACCTCCCTTTTGGAAGGAGAGATGGTGAGAAGCAAACTGTATGCCTCACCCATATATGTGTTCTGGTATGGCTCTTCTGTTATTCAGTCTGACTGACTTTTACCCTGACCAGACTCCCAAGCAATTCATAGTACTGAGTAAAATTTTGAGCCCTTTGAAACAGGTAGGTGCTTTTATTTCCATATCACAGAAATGGAAACGAAAACATGGAGAGAGTCAGTGGCTATCTAGGACATTGGAAGACCATGGGAGAGTTGGGAAATTTGATAGGACTTAATACTTCCTGGTCACAGATCCTAAATATTTAACTGAACTCCCTGCTAGGAACGCTATTATGAATTTTAATGTAGCTCAGTGGCAAACTTGGAATTGGCAGAACCCTCTGTACAGAAAGAAATGCTAATGCCACCACCATCACCACTAGTAATAATAATCACCACCCCCGTTTTACCTATTGTTCATTGGTAATATCTTTCAATAGCTAGGCTGACATTATCCGATAAAAGTAAAACCAGTGAGACAGACCTCAGTAGGCAGAAATCAGCAGTTTCCTTTTCTTCAGTTTATATCAGGTGTAGGTCTGAGATGAGTAGAAAAGGAAAAACTTCCCCAAAATGTATATGCACAGAGAAGGTGTACTAAAGTAAGTTAAAACTGACTGATTATCTTGAACAGTTTGTACCTTTGGTTTGATCTTTAGTTTCTGCTTACAGGTTGTGTTCATGATCCTTGTGTGAATGCTGGAGAATGTAAAATGGTTACCTTCAGTGGGAAAATAGTATGTGATTGCAAAGGAAATTATGTAGGAAAATACTGCAACATTGGTAAGTATATCAACCTACCAGCGGGCAGAGAATTTGGAGTTTTCATCTGAGTGTGAAGCTGGGGATTTTTGCCTCTGTGCTGTATTCTGTCTTTGCAAGCATTTCTTGTAGTGACTGAAGAGTCACACAGAACAAGTGTTTAATGTATTCATCCAATGTAAAACATAACACACTCTTCACCACCGAGACCCTGATTCTAAAAATATTAGTTCATGTCCTTAACTGTATACAAAATTAAGCACAGAAATTTTAATCCAATTACGCCCATAAAAAAGTGTGTGTGCTTCCATTTAGCAGGATCAGTCACAGAGTTGTACTCTAGTGCAAATGCTTCCCCACAGATCCATGCATCTTACGTTGTGCCCTCAAAATTAGGGATTTATGCTTCGACAAAATTAAACAGCAGATGGTATTAGGTAGCACTATATTATTGTCCCCCCTCAGAGGGCTGGAGCTCCTCTCCAAGGGCTGGAGCACCTCTTCTATGGAGACAGGCTGAGAGAACTGGGCTTGTTCAGCCTGGAGAAGAGAAGCCTCAGGGGAGACCTTATTGCAGCCTTCCAGTACCTGAAGGGGTTACAAGGAAGCTGGGGGGGACTTTTTACAAGAGCCTGTAGTGACAGGACAAGGGGTAATGGGTTTAAATTGAAAGTGAGGAGATTTAGATTAGATATCAGGAAGAAGTTATTCACAGAGAGGGTGATGAGGCACTGGAACAGGTTGCCCAGAGAAGCTGTGGATGCCCCATCCCTGGAAGTGTTCAAGGCCAGGCTGGATGAGGCTTTGAGCAACCTGGTCTAGTGGAAGGTGTCCCTGCCCATGGCAGGGGGCTTGGAACTAGATGGTCTTTAAGGTCCCTTCCAAACCAAACTATTGTATGATTCTATGATTGTGGGAAGTAGACAAAGATAAAATACACCTGCTTTGTTTAGGTTACCTTTTCCTTGAAATTAATAACACATTTAGCCCTGTACAGCTTACCTAAAAATCCTTCCTTGCACCACTGGGTCAGGGCAGAGAAATCTGCTTTTTTGGTGCCCACGTGTTAGTTCTGTGCTGCTTCCTATTAGATGCTACATAGTTTCTGATGTAATTTTCCTCCAGAAGTTTTAACATTTCTCATTTCAAGGTTTAAATCTGCTTGTAAAGCTTACCTGCATGCTAAATCTTCAAGTTGTATCTGTAGCTGCTTTTCGAATACAGCAAGCTTTAGACATAAATTATAACAGACATTTAGTGATATCCGCCTCTGATCCCATCAACTCACTGGCTATGTCTTTCTGCGTACATAAATCCCAGGGCTTATCAAAATTGAAGATAAAACTCCTGGTAGCTACAGTGAATATGGAGTTGGTCTGAAAGAGTGGTGCAGTAAAAAAAAAAAATTGAATTGGTATTTGGTATTCTTTTTTTGTTATCCTGATGGTTAACAAATGGTGTATGCATCTATTCAAGCTGGGGAAAAAAAAAATCCATTTGGGAGACCAGCAGTGCAGCTACAATACCAAATAGCAGGAGTGAACTGGCAAATTGAATGACATAGGAACTGGTCCTGAACCTTTACTCACCAGGTACCCAATGAATTTTTCAAAATGGGCTTCTAACTCTCGTAAGTCCCCCCTAAGCAACAATATGGTAGCTGTGGGGTTTTTTTTCTGTCCTTTATCTGCCCTAGTGAGATTTGTCCCAGGTGGTGTGAACACTGCTGCGATGATTTGGGTGAGGGGCTGCATGTGCATGGTGTATGTGTGACCTGGCATCCCGGGGAGGACTGCATGCTGCTCATCTTCAAATAAAACTGCTTTTCAGATTCCTATTGCATTATCCACTTCCCCTGCCCAAAGAGGCAATGCTGTGCATAAACATCCACCCGGCACAGCCTGGATTATAAATACCAGGATGTCAGTGTTAGAGCTGTAATACTGGTTTCTGTCTGACGAGCTTAGAACAAGAAATAAGCAGGTGCTCTTTGATTACTTGAAAATAATAAAGCAAACATTTGGTTTGCTAAACAACTGGCTTTAGATGCTTACAATCCATCTGTGTTCAGCTGCCTAACACCCCCCCACAAAACAGGAACTGAAGAATTGTGTTTATGTGTCAGGGCGTTGCAAATAAGTTTAAAAATGGAAAAAAAACCCAAACCTCTTTGCCAGGATTTAGTCATTCTAAATTAATGCAAATAAATTAGTGCTGGGGTCTATAGACCTCATCACATGAGGACAGTGGCATCCTGGTGAAAGCACTGGGAGCTTGAGGTCTCAAAGCACATAGAACTGATTTTTAAATATATGTTAGATTAATTTTTTCTTCAACTCTTCAATTTGATGCTGTGAGCACAGCTGGTTGTTTTTCTTTGTTTTCCTTTTCACTGTCTTGTACAGTTTCCCTTGCCTAACAGGGATCAGTTGTGAGGTTACCCTTTAGTCTGAAATAGCTTGTGGTTATAATGCTTTATTCAGAGAAAGTTGCAGTGTCTCCAAAATGTACTTTATTCTAAATTATTAATTTATAGAGGGAACCTTAAACCCAAGATGTGATGTAACAATATCTTCCTTAAAGAAAAAAAAAAACCAATCAAAAAACCACAAACAAACCACAACAAAAAAAGCCCCAAACCACTCAATTTAATAAAAAGTACCCCAAAACATTATTGGGCTGTGATGTGTTTGAAGTCTCTGATGATGTCCTCTGTCCTTTACTTCTACAGAGAATAACCATATGTTTCTAATGGAAAACCAGCTAATTTATCTTGATGTCACACTCACAAATATTAATAAACCAAGTGACATCCAGGGTCAGATCACAAGTCTGAGTACTATTGCGAGTCGAGCATCAGCAAAGTAGAGGATGACTGATGGGTAATGTAAGTAGGTAGTTACTGAGAAATACTTCCAGCTGAGGATTTTCTCAACAGGTGACTGGACCATCATATTTAATAGACCTCTACCTGTTTTCCCTTAATTTGTATCTTTAGAGCTCCTTTATGATTTGCCTTTCACTTCTTGAGCATGATGTCTCATGAAGTTCCAGAATTCAAATAGATATGATGAGAAAGAATATTTTATATTGTTAGCTTAAAACCTACGGCCTGATAAATTCATTCCCCGCCTTTTGAACAGTGAGTAACAGAGAATAATCATAGCTTTTGTGATTTTGCAGATACCTATTTATCTGTCCATTAGTTGTTTCTTTTTTATGACTATGGGGTCTCTGTCAGTACTCACAAATAATTTTTCCACTGTTCTTAAAATTTTCTTGGAAACATTGATTATATATATGTATATATATATTGCCAAGCCATTGTCATAAGGGCCGTGCAATTGCTGGCAAATTACGAGCTGACTTAAGAAAAATATGCGAGGTGGTAAATGAAACATAGGAGATAAATATAACAAAGGAGATTGATATACAAAAGAAGTTTTTTAATACAGATTTCTATTCTTTGTGATCATACATAATTTTCTAGCCTTTAAAGAAGAAGCCTTCAGTACCAAAGAAAGAATTACCATTTAAAAAGATGTTCTAACACAGTTTATATACACAAGATTTCAGTGAAGTTTGGTTTCAAAAGAAATTATTTACATCACCAACAAATCCATCCCCAGACAGATGCTGTCTGAAGTTATTCAGGAATCCATTTTTAATTGTGTTTAATTCATAATAATTGCACTTAAATATGCACTTTTTTTTCAGAAATAAGGATTCTGTATTAAGAGAGTAGCTGCATTCACTCTGGAGACAGAGTTCCTCCAGAGAGAGTTCTGCATACAGGCTTTAGGTGGAAATTCAGAATTAATTATCCAACCACGAGTAGCCATAGTTGTCATATTCTACAAAAAGGACCCAAACCCGGCCACTTTGGCAGTGATAAATGTGAAAAAGTGAAGACTAAGTAGGATGTGAGGGTGATATATTATCTCTGGCCCAAATTGATATGGAGAGAGGAGAGGGAATTGTGAAGATTTTTTGGGAAATGTTTAACCTCACTGAAGGTGATAACTTAGAACAAACTGTTATAAACATGCAATTGTAAAATTAGTTTGACATCTTATGTTTCTTTGAACAGATAGGAGCCACAATAGAGATGTTGGGTGAATACAGAGGGACGGGTAAAGGCAGAGGATGAGCTATTTGGCCAGGATACATAATTCATTATAATAAGCATTTATGCAGATGTTAAAGAGAGTTGGAGGATAAAGGAAGGACATCTAAAATTTTTTAAGGGATTGGTGCCTTTAGGTTTCTGTGGTTGAAACCCCACCATTGCATTCACACTATCAGCCTCAGTTGACATACAAGTGGAAACGAGTATATATTTTGCCCCATTTCTTTGGTAAAAACACTTCCTTCTCGTTACCATTGCTTTGGTACTGGTTTTGGATGTGGGTATTTAGTACATTTAGGGGAGTGTTCTTGATTTGTTGCGCGGTGTGTTATTGGGATATCTTTATTATGTTTAGCTAGCAGCCAAGCCATTTCTTGAAATACTTAGTGTATATAGGTGGCTTTGTTGTGTTACTGGTAATCAGAGGAACAGCTGGTAGGCATATGTGGATAACTGATATGGGGTCTAGCACTACATATTTCAATGGTTTGTCAGCTTTCAACTGCATTTTCGGGGTGTAGTCATTGGGTTAATGTTCTGGATGGCCAGAAGGGGTTTGGCTCATTTGTTGCATTAGGACTTGGCAACAGCTCAGGGTCTGTTCCTGTGGAACTACTTGTAAAAATGAAGTAGCCACGTAATAAAGTAAATCAGTGGGATGGATGAGTTATGGCAGATTTTGGTACTTCTAATGATTAGATTAATGAAGAGGTAGAAAGCAGGCATGTGGAAAGCCTGTTTGGGTTTGTGCCACTGTGGTGTACAATAGATGGTAGGTTTAAGAGTATTGGGAGGACTGGACAGAGGATTATATGTTTTGAGTTTTCTTTGGATTAAGGTTTAGGTACCAATAATGTTTTTTTGCTAGTATTTGTCTTGATGAGGTATGAAA